TTGCTGTAATACCAGCTAATATTCAAATCAGAATTTGAATCTGAACTTTGTTTCCCTTTCCCCCAATATCTTCCCAGAGGATTACACAGCCCTCTCCAAGGAATGCAGTATATCTAGTAGTTAAGACTGTTCTACATTAAACAAAAATTTCTTGAACCCAAACTTTGTGACAGGCATTGTTTTGGACTTGTGAATAGATCGCTTCTCGGCCTTTTGGCTAAGATCAAGTGGACTTGTGAATAGATGACAATATGAAGAAAACAAATTTCTTGCTCTTGTTGAACTTAAAATCAACCAGGAAACATACCATAAGCAAATAAATAAATAGACATATAATATGCCATTCCATGATAAGTTCAGTGAAGAAAAATAACAAATATTTCACTAGCCTTTATGAACATTTATGAACCCATTTTTATGAACATTTATGAAACCATAGCAAGAGTACAAAGGGGGGCTCACCTATATTGTCTTTGTTTTAATTAGTAATTAAACCTTCATTTAGCAAAGAATATGAAGTTGCACAGATTAATGACATGTATAAGCTGTGAATTTGATAAGAATAATTTTCCTATTTGTTTTTATTGTTTTGATCATTAATTAAATCTTTCTTAAATAATTTGTAATGTGTTTTCATAAATTTTATGTAGGTTGTACTTGACTCATTGTTTCTAGTTTTTAAAAAATTTAAGCAGTCTACTTTTTTGGAGTTTTCCTATTTCATTTTTCTTTTCAGGTTCCTTTTGGGGGATCGGTTTTGTATTTTTGAATTTCTATCATGCTTTCAACTTGTCCTCATTCTTAAAGACCTAAAGAATAAAAAATATATAATTGTATTCAATGTACTCATAATTTGAATTTATATTTTGTCCAAAAATATAATAAATATAAAAATTAAAATTATTTTCATTCGTGTTTTCAAAAGTGTTCTATTTTTTCTAAAATGTTTAGAATTACCCGTTAACATTAAAAGGCAAAATTCAAAATTGTGATTAATGAATATAAAATTTTTAATTAATATTACATAAATAAAACTAACATTTGAATTTTACTTTTCAAATTTTAATGAAATCTTATTAAATTTTTGTCAAAGAAAGAAAACTTCGCAATTTTACATCTTATGTCTAATGCCAATGTAAAGAACTAGTATCACGCTTTGTAAATTATGTTTAGTTCTATATACAAATATAGGAGTAAATATAAATTGTTTAATATTGCAAAATATCTCTCAGGCCCCACATGCAATTATTGTTCCTCAGGTCCCACATGTCATTTTTCTGAACCATAAATTGGAACAGAAAAAAGATGCAGGGCACTATTGGGAGCTAGTGTTTCATTATGCAAGAATTTATTGTATTCACGCTATCTGAGAGAAAGGATCTGAGAAGTTACTGAGTCTTAAAGTTCTCCCACTGCCTTTTGAAGTCAGGTCAATCTCAGATGTTGGCAACAGCACAATCCGCAAAAATTCGCAGCACTCACAGTATACAAGTTGCTTTTTATTTTGAAGACATAGGTAAAAAATGTGGAAAGACATTTCCCTGGGGCCTGAACATATAAGTTTTAAGAATATGTTTAGGATGGGATTGTGTTGTGCCGGTGCTGAGAAATGGCTCTTCGGTGATAAAGATTACCTGTATGTCCTTTTAGAAATCTATTTTTGTGCTTTTGTAATATGGGGGCACCTCTAAAGCATGGAACCATGTAGTGCCTTGCAGGCTTTGGTAAAGAGTTCAGATTTTATTTTAGATGGAAAATCTTTGGGGAGTTCTGAGCAAAAGCGTGACCTGATCTTATATCAATTGTAAAAATATTTTTCTGAATGCAATGTGAAGAATGGTTTATAAAACAGCAAAAATAGAAACAGGGAGACCAGTTTGAAAGCTACTGCAATGGTTAGGTGGAATATGAAGATGGTTTAGACAACAGTGACGTATGTAGTAAAAGTGGCCCAATTCTGGAAATATTTTGAAGGCAAAGCCCAAAGGATTTGTTGGTTCAAACCTCCACATTTCTAAGATTATTTTTCTTCACTTTGAAAGGGGATCATCTTTAAAAGTTGGATTTAGGGGCACCTGGCTGGCTCAGTCGGTTAAGCGGCTGCTTTCGGCTCAGGTCATGATCCCAGGGTCGTGGGATCGAGCCCCGCATCAGGCTCCCTGCTCAGTGGGAAGCCTGCTTCTTCTCCTGCTCCCCCTGCTTGTGTTCCCTCTCTCGCTGTGTCTCTCTCTGTCAAATAAATAAATAAAAATCTTTAAAAAAATAAATAAAAGTTGGATTTATATAAAAATTAAACATGATAGTCCATGTAAAATTCTTCTTGTAATGTCTGGTATATAATATGCATATAACAAATATTAACCATTAAATTATTTTTGAGTCATCACCTAATAAAATCACTTTTCCCAAATATCTTTTTTTCAGGCCTCTAGATTTTTGCACATTTATGTTTCTATAATTAGGAATCCATTGATCCTATTCTTTTCCTGTCAAATATTCCTATCAAGATTTTGAATACAAAAATCTTTCCAGTCTCATAAGAATGAAGACAAAGTACTGAAAATGATAAGAGGGCGCCTGGGTGGCTCAGATGGTTAAGCGTCTGCCTTCGGCTCAGGTCATGATCCCAGGGTCCTGGGATCGAGTCCCGCATCGGGCTCCCTGCTCCTTGGGAGCCTGCTTCTCCCTCTGCTTCTCTCTCTCTCTATCCCTCTGTCTCTCATGAATGAATAAATAAAATCTTTAAAAAAAAATGAAAATGATAGGAGATGGGTTGATGTCTGCAGGACAGAAGATCTTAATCTTCACGAGCAGTTATCTCTTCTACTAATTACCATTTAATCTGAAACTGACTATTGACTACTACAGAATATGATTTCATTAACAATTCATTGATTTTTTCCTCAATCTCACCTGTATGCGTGAATAGATCCACAAAAATAAAAACTACTCTTCTTGTCAAGAGACTCATAATGATCTTTGCCTAACTGTTCCAGAAACCATCTCCCCTCTCATGAGAAAATATTTTGCCCTGAATTACAAAGACCTTATATTGAATAGGGCTTACATATGCTACACACCAATACAATGGAAAATTAGACCAAGACCACATTATCACTATATGTTTTACAATTGGTTGAATTGTAAATAATTCTCCATATTGAGGTTCTGAATATATTCTTTCAATATCATAGAACTAAAGTTGTCTTTTCAAACAGAGGACAAATTATAAAACCCATTACATCCAAAACTGGTTCTTTGGTTTTAACAGTCCTATCACTAATTACACAGTCCAAAGGGGATTTGCAAAGTAAAGATAATTTATCAAAGCAAGTAAACGGATATAATAATCAAAATGGTCGCCACCGTAGTCATTACTGATATAGTCCTAGCTGGAGTAGAGAGAACTTTGTTATTTTTTTTTTTTTAGCTGCAGCATTTTTTTTTATTTTTTATTTTTATTTATTTATTTATTTTGGAGAAGAGGGAACTTTAAACTTTGTGAATAATAAAAGTAGCTGGCCCTTTTTGGTGGCAGTTCAATTCAGTTTTGTAAGGAAAATCCATGAGTCAGAAAGGCACTGAATTCTCAGGCTGAAACACCAAAAAGAATGACCCATGTTATTGAGGGGATAATTCTATTAGCCCATAAGACAGACACAGAGTTGCAGAGAAGAAAAAATATATTTAAAAAGAATCACCAGTGATGCATGCTTTAGTCTATTTTTAAAGGATTGCAGGAAATTCTCCTCTGACGAAGAACACTGACTTCTACGTTTCATTGCATTTAGTTGCATTTAATGTTCCGTCTTAAACATATGTATCTTGTGCCTAACTCCATGAAAGCACTAATACCGTTTCACAAATGTTGATTTTTATCTATTTCTTCTGCTAGATTGTGAACCACTTATTGAAATAGGAAACACTATAAAAGGTTCTAATAAGGATACAAGTGGCTCACTTCTGGACATATTGAGATGCCAATGAGGTAGCATAGCAGCCTATTTTGCCAAATAGATCTTCCAAGTCTGGGATACATTCATGTTTCCTTGTATGTTGATTATATATCTCAGATCATGTTATATAGTAGATGTTCAATAAATATCTGTCAACTGACTTAATCACTAATGAAAATTTTATTACTGGATTTTAAAGCTGATTATTTCATTCTGCAACTTAATAAAATTTGCTCTAGCATCCTGCTTTCCAAGAAAGAGATCACGTCATCATGATCATAATATAAAGTAGATGTATCTTAGTATCTTAGTATCTCTTAGTATCTACAAAATTTACTTTTGTTAACAAAATGCTATTTTCATTTTGATTACACCATCTAAAGAAATGTGTATTTCAGGAGGACAGTGTTCATGCTAACAAACATAGTCACAGTAAATGTCAAGAAGTGCTGGGCCAAGTTGTATTCGTGCAAACAATTTTCTAAGAAAGGAAAAGGAAATAGGGAGAGGAAGGAGGCTGACTCAGTGGGAGGCTGTTTGTTAATTAGTAAATACGTGCTGTACACATATTGAGCCATGTGGCTGCTTTTCAAAAAAGCAAAGTACATGGAGAAATTTCAGCTGTCTTCTGAAAATATGCTCACTCACACTTCCCCATTAGATTGTTTATGGCCTATAAGAACCGAGGACTTTGTTTTTGTTTTTTTGAAGATTTTATTTATTTATTTGACAGAGAGAGAGACAGCCAGAGAGGGAACACAAGCAGGGGGAGTGGGAGAGGGAGAAGCAGTCTCCCTGCTGAGCAAGGATCCTGATGTGGGACTTAGATCCCAGGACCCTGGGATCATGACCTGAGCTGAAGGCAGATGCTTAACGACTGAGCCACCCAGGCGCCCTGAGGACTTTGTTTTATTGAGAAGAAAGAGAGAAAATGGGGAAGGGGTAAGTAGGTACTGGGGAGTCATCTCAGAAGCAGGCTGAAAAACAGAAAATGTTTGTGGCTCAGGACTTTTTCAAAAGAAACAAGTAGATGTATATTCTTACCAGAATGGCACAGTCACGTTTTTTCTTCTCGGAACATTTGCAAAATCAGAGCTGAAGACAGAATTTGGGTGTGGATGAGGTGGGATGTTGGTGACAGTGGTTGGCACCCAGTTAAGATTTCCAAGTATGTTTAAAACGTAGACAGTTTAATCAAGGACTGTCAGGATCACCAGAGTTTGGACTGTTGTCCAGGCCCTTAGCCCATGACCATGTCACCGAGTTCATGGACTTTTGTTTATTTTCTCAACAAATATTTACTGAGAACATACCAAATGCCAAATACTGTTCAAGGTGCTAAGAACACAGCAATAGGGGGAAAAAACAGATTAATGTCTCTGCTGTAAAGGAATTTACATTTTCCTAGGGGGAGACAGGACAATAAGCAAATAAATAGGATTTTCAGATGGTGATAAGTGCTGTGAAGAAACTAAACTAGGGTGATGTAATAGGGAGTGACCTTGACAATCAGTAGAATAAAATCCTCTCCAATGTGCTAGACAGGCTCCATTGGGGTATGACCCATCAGAGCCCCTATGGGGATCATGGACCACTAAAAATCCAATTCTGTGCAGAAGACAGTGTATTCATCCCTGTTAGACAACAGCCCTTAAGGTTCCTGACTGGTCCTAGACCTACGCTGGCTACAAAAGGCTCTTCATGATCCAGAAGCAACTGCTGTCCAATAGCTCTGAGCTGCTCTGAAATTATAGGCCTTTTTCAGCAGATGCTCTTGACTAAAATAACTGCTCCCTCCAAGCATGCCCTAATTTATGGCTGGCTTAGTTTTCTTGATTGCCTTAATGTTGTTGATATCAAATTCCCCTTAACCTTGAGCCTTACCTCCTTTCTCTACTGCCCTACCTAGACTATCCTGCTTTCTTTCAGCAACAATGTAAGCTTGCCTAATCCTATCTCGGGCCTAACTCTGTCTAGTTGTAACTTGGATGAAACGTGCTAGTGACATGCCCCACAGTGATGACATCCTGGCAGAACCTGGTCTTTGCTTTCCCCGTGCCAGCACCCAGGACTTTGACCAACTTGCTCATTCTCACAAATGTTCCAGCAATGCTTTTTAAATCTATACTATCTAGGATATTTTGCCAACTGAGATTAAGATGTTATGCTTTGAATACTTGGTAGTAAAGGGTCCTGAATAAGATATCCAAACCAAGATTGCTAACTGGCAGAGAAAAACTCTACCCATCAATACCAAAAATGTCAAGCCTCTCAGAGGCATATCTATGGGCACAAGAATTTAAACTAAGTGACAGAAAAGTCTGACTTAGAAAGCAATAGTGGTTACTGAAGCAGTGGCATCCGGTCTGTGCCAAAATGGCTCCAGGGTAGGGCAGAGGCTCATGTTAAACTGAAGTTACTCAGGAGCAGAAACTAAGAGCCTTTGGAAATAAACCTGGCTGCCTAAAGAAGAACAAAATGTAGGTACGAATAGAAAGATGCAGAGAAGAGAAATGGTGCTGCCTGAGAGAAAAAAACTTAAAAAGGTGGCTTGTCTGAAGTTGCTTTTTCCAGCAGTTATGAGGCCTAGTAGTACTATCTACAGTTGGATTATGTGAGATTCCCACATAGCCTTCAAATAAACTCTCTTTCACCTGGTCTATTGGAAAGTTTTACTTACTAGGCAAGTATCTTTGGAGTCAGAAGCTATACAGCCAATAGTGATCACTGCCCTCGTCTAATAAGTCTTGAGGAATTATTCCCATGGTACCCGTGCTACTTCTACCTGTGCCCATAGGTATACCTCTCAGACAGTTGTCATTTTTTGGTACTGATGGGTAGTTCTCTCTGCTAACTAGCAGGCCCAGAGTTCAGATATTTTATTCAAGACTCTACCACTAAGTGTTCAAAGCATAACATCTTAACCTCGGATTCTCAGAAAGAGAATCTGATCGGCCCAACTGTGCTTTGGGTTGTTTTTCTCTGAGTTATCTGTCCAGTCAGCTGTGATGAGACCCTAGACTTAAGGATCTTAAGACCTGTGCTACAAACATGGCAACCATGGGTGTGGTCAAGGGAGAGATTTTCTTAGATGGAAGGCAGGATGAGGTAGGCAATGATTAGCCAACAGGTCCAGTGATGCTATAAAGTCCAGTCATCACCCACAACTACCAGTGAGGCCATACTTTCCAGGCCAATGACTGTCTATAAAGGATCTCGTGTCTTCAACTTATATGAATGCTTAAATTGTCCATTGTTAGTGAGAATGTAGTTCTAAATATTTCCATTTTCCAAAGGCAAATCAGATTGTAGACATGCTGAAGATAGACATCTTGTAAATCTTGATCTCACAGAATTAGTCTAGTTAAGCAAGAAATTGTGAAGCAATGGTGAATAAGAATGTGAATAGAAAATTATTATAAGGGGTTAGAAAACCGTGGCAGGCTTGCTTGCACTTACATATGCTGGTTCTTCTCCCTAGAATGTCTTTCCTTCCACCATCTTGGCAAAATCTTACTCATTCTTCAAGACCTAGATTAACCATCATTTTATCTGGAAATCCTTTCTGACATGGCCCACTTTCTTCTCTTTTGGGCAAAGATCATCAGTCTCTCCTTTGATCAAGTGCAACATGCACATCATTTCAATTTTTATTTCAGCAGTTCTCATGCTAACTTACATGTATTGCTTTACAACACTATGTCTGCAATGCTATTTTAAGTCTCTTAAAGGCAGAAACACTGTCTTATTTGACTACATATTCCTGGGCGCCTAGTTCGGTGAGCCTGAAACAGAGTTGGTATTCAAGAATTGTTGACTGGATGAGGAAGAGTAAAAGAAAATATATTATTGATTTGGCACAAGTGTAGTCTGAAGAGTGTTCCAGATAATTGAAGTTTATACCTCCAGCAATCAAAACTTAAAATGTTTTATAAAGACAGAAATCTTTATAAATTATCTTACAGATTTTTCTGCCTCATTAAACAAAATGAAACAACATCATGAATACTTTCTAATTTATTCAAATTCCTCATTTTGAATCATTTATATTATTCTCTAATGTAGTCTTAAGAAAGCTTAGTTTGGGCACCACCTCCACCAGAAAGCCTCCTCTAGCCTTATCCCATCAGACTTCACTAGATACCATCTTATAGTATTCACAGAACCCCCTTGTATACTGCTTACAATACTTTATGGAAAATACCTATTAATTCACATGATTCCACTACTTCATATGGTCACAAACCTCTATTTTCCCCATTAGACAGTGGGTAGCTCTGGACGGGACACCCCATCTTATTCATCTTTTCATTGCCAGGGCCAAGCAGAGCACATTAGGTACCCTACAAATGTTGAACTGAAATGAACATAGTAGTGTTATAAGAGAGTTTTGAAAAGTGTAAAACTATTAATCTCTACACTAAATTATTCCCACTTTTTTTCTATTTTATAGTATTAGATTTTTTATATTGCTCCTGTGTTTTCCCCAATTATATCATGTTACTCCATCGGATTAACTATCTCTAGAAGGCCCTTACCTTTTACCAATCCAGTGATTTCCAATTTTTTTGATCACATATCTTGATCAGTAGAAAATATTTGAACCCAAATCTCTACTAAATGACAGAGAGTAAAGTTGTGTATATATTTATACACATTTATTTACAAATTGAATGCATGTATTTTTATATTGTTATTTATATTGATATTTTAACAACCATAAGGGAAAAAAGAGAAAGGTTAGATAATAATAAAGTAAATTTTTTAAACTAAAGTGATGTTTTATTATGTTTATCAATAACATAAAAATTTTTTTGCTCATACTTTGTAAGATCATCTTATTTTAATCTTGCTATAATATTTAGGGATATAATATTTTGAGGGCTTGGATTCCAGATTCAATTGATGCAATGCTTAATTTTAAAGTCTATTATAGATGAAAAAAATACTTCAAGGGCGCCTGGGTGGCTCAGTTGGTTCAGCGACTGCCTTCGGCTCAGGTCATGATCCTGGAGTCCCGGGATCGAGTCCCGCATCAGGCTCCCTGTGCTTCTCCCTCTGACCATCTTCCCTCTCATGCTCTCCGTTTCTCATTCTCTCTTTCTCAAATAAATAAATAAAATCAAAAAAAAAAAAAGAAAAAAATACTTCAAATGGACAAAGTGTATCTTAGTCTTTAGTTATTAAATTATGATACTCATTTTTTATGCCCAGGCATCAATTATATAAAAATTTTGTTGAAATTCAAACAGAAAATTCAGTTCTCCTTGATCTCACTTTGATGTAGGCATTGTGTTTTTTAAAAAAAGTATAAGGATTCAAAACTCTTCATTTGGAAGATATTTAGATAGGGTAGAAAATTCTATTTCAAAAGTTATATTTGTGACAACATGGATGGACCTAGAGGTGCTAAGCAAAATAAGTCAGACATATAAAGACAAATACCACATGATTTTGCTTACATGTGGAATCTAAAAAATGAAACAAACAAACAAAACAAAATAAAACCCAAACTCATAGTTACAGAAAACAGATTGGTAGTTGCCAGGGGGGAGGGTGCTCGAGGGGGGAATTGGTGAAGGTGATTAAGAAATACAAACTTCCAGTTATAAAATAAATAAGTTACAGGAATATAAAGTACAGCATGGGGAATATAGTTAATATTGTATTAAATTTGTATGATGTATGGTAACTGGACTTATTGTGGTGATCCTTTTGTAATGTATACAAATGTCTAAAGTTTTTTTTAAAGATTTTATTTATTTATTTGAGAGAGAGAGAGAGTGAGTGCATGCACAAGCAGGGTTGAGGAGCAGAGGGAAAAGCAGACTTCCCACTGAGCAGGGAGCCGATTCCAGATTCCAGGACCCTGGGATCATGACCTGAGCCACCGAAGACAGCCATTTAACCAACTGAGCCACCCAGGCACCCGGCAATGTATACAAATGTCTAATCACTGTTACGCACCTGAAATTAATATTACATCATATGTCAATTATACCTAATAATAAAAAAGGTTTTAAAGTTTGCAACTATAAGCATTCTTATAGGTGACATACTTGCATCATTTTTCAGCCACAATATCACATATTAATAAAAATATTTTCAAACACTTTTTCCATAATATTTTCCCCAAAAT